GCTAATGGTCAGTTCCAGTCTGAGTCAGAAGGCCTGAGAACCGGTGGTGTAACTTTTGGCCCAAAGTTGTAACTTCTAGCCCAAGTCCTATTGTGAAGGCAGAGAAGACCCATGTCCCCACTGGAAACAGTCAGGCCTGAAGAGAGGATTCTCCCTCATTCTTTCTTCTATGGATTGAATGAGGCTCACCCCCACTGGGGAAGGCAATTTACTATCAATTCAGATGTTAATATCATCCAGAAACACTTTCAGGGACACGCTCAGAATAACATTTAATCTGGGGCTCCTGGGTGGCTCAGTTGGTTGAGCGACTGCCTTCGGCTCAGGTCATGATCCTGGAGTCCCGGGATCGAGTCCCACATCGGGTTCTCTGCTCAGTGGGGGATCTGCTTCTCCCTCTGACCCTCTTCTCTCTCGTGCTCTCTGTCTCTCATTCTCTCTCTCAAATAAATAAATAAAATCTTTAAAAAAATAAAAAAATAAATTAAAAAAAAGATTAAAAAAAAAAAAAGAAGAACGTTTAATCAAATATCTGGGCACCCCATGGCCCAGTCAAGTTAACACACAAAATCAACCATCACAGATACTATTTCATAACCCCAAATTTTTCACGTAAAAAAAGCAAGCATTGGCAAAGCGTGAAAAGAATCAGAAGAGTATACAAATTGCTTGTGGGAATGTAAGATGGTATCACCTCTTTGGAAAGCCATTTGTCAATCTCTAGTAAAGTTGAGTGGGGGCGCACCCCATAGTCCCACACTGATGAAAGACTTTCATATTTACACAAGGCCAGATGTTCAAGGATACACTTTCTAGCACTATTGATAAAACTAAGAAACATGGGGTTGTGTATCATAGAGTAGATTAAAAAAAAAGTAAACAATCCACGAAGCAATGCGATAAATCTCAAAAATATAATGCCACATTTAAAGAAAACTGAAAAATGATACATACAGTATGATACCATGAATGTAAACATTTAATGAAAATGATAGACTAATAGAAAATATCACTATATTTTTTTTCTGGGTAGATACCTATGTAGAAAATTATTTCAAAAACAAACATGCATAAGGCTGATTCACACCAACTTCGGGATAGTGCAAACCTCTGGAATACAGAAAGGGAGAGAGAAAGAGTGTGTGGGTGGGGGTGGGAGGGAGAGAAAAGTCATAGCAATTGGGTGATTTGGCTGTAACTGAAATTTCACTTACAAAAAAAGGAGATTTGGCAACATGCTGATATTCTCTTAAATCTAAGAGCTGAGTATATAGGTGTTATGTTTTTTTCTCTACTTGTATGAATATTTGAAATTTTCCAAATTAAAAATAGAGTAAATGAATTAAAAAGCAGTATTGTAGTAAGATCCCATAAAATATCATGAGTGATTAAATGAAAGGATACACTCTAAAACAATCTGGGAGACTGTAGACCGAACTATTAGTACTAGTTATCTCTGGGAGAGGCCTTCAGGAGTTTTATTCTCTACTTGCTAAATTTTCCTTTTGTTTGAACTTTTGCCATGATTGTGGATTACCTATATAATCAGAAAAACTAGCCAAAATGTTGAAAAGGGGCAGAAAAGATAAAGATGTAAGGAAATTTACATATAGGCCCTTACTCAAAAAACACCCTTGGACCCCCACTCCTTGGTGTCATTTTTCCAAGAGTAGGCCAGAGGAAAGAAGGAATACGTTTATATTCTTAGAAGCCAATAACTAGCTAAACCCCAATTTTGCAATTATGCAACACCAGCTGCCATTTCTGAACATTCACAAAGAGCTAAAAAAAGAGCTCATTATGTTCCTCTGAAATCTGCTCCTCATCCTGTATTCTCTGTCTGGATGAATGTTGCCACCAGGCTCACCAAGTCCAATCAATTCTACCACCTTAATAACTTTTGTGTCCCATCCCCCACTCTTGTCTCAACGCCCCCTCAAATCATCTCATTGATTGGCTTTTCCTCCTGCCTTAGGGTTTAACCCTTGGACTCCACCCAGCAAACAGTAGTCAGGTCAATCAACCTTTTATTTGATCATATAAATCCGTTCCTCAATTAATTATCTCTACAAAATGTGCCCACGTTTCTCATTACCGACACGATAAGATGCCAACTCTTTAGCGTGGTGTCAAAAGTCTGAAGACCTTTCTGGGCTAGCTCCTGCCTACCTCCAGGCTGACCTCTTTCCAGGCACCCATCAGCCTATAATTTCTCTGCAGTTACCTGTGGTTTCCTGGACTTCACTCCGTGTCTTCTTTAAAGGCTCTGTGGTTGTACTTCCTCTGCATAGGGACATCGACTTCACCAGTAAGCTCAGCCCAACACTTTCTTTATGAACATGTTCCTGGTTCTTACACACATGCACGCACGCACTCCCCTGTCCATTTGGTCACAGAGCTTAGCTCTTTTCACTGCCCCCCCACCCCCGCTCTTGTTTTATGGATTTAATAATTCTCCAATTATCTCTGAGTATACTGAATAGAAGCTGTTGTCTTTAATTATTTAGTTTTTACGTGGTGTCTATTTCTCAAATTCCTTCCACTTTCACAAGATCAATTTGTTTTTCTTGGATTACCTTATTCATGCTGCTGGTTTCCCAAATATGTCTGGTAATTCTAACTCCCACTATTCGATTTACCTTTCAATTTCTAAATTTTTTTTTTTTTTTAGAATCTCTTATCTGCTGATAATGTCCCTTTCTTTCTCTTTGCTTAGAGGTTTATTTCTTTTTTTTAATATTTAAGAGATTTATTAAAGCATCTTATCACAAAGATGGAAACACATACAGATTAGAAACATGCAACTGTCATCTTCCACAATCAAGTTAAAATGTTATGTATTTCTCCCGTTTTCAAAGCTGAAACCTTCAGATATCAGTACATCGACACCTTTATTTCTGGGAGGTGTGGGAAAGCACTATTCATATATACAAATGTCCGGTCCACCACCTTGGGTCAGAAAACCAGCCTACCATCCTAGAATCCACTAAGTCAACAAACCTTTCCTAAAAATGAAAAATAGGCAAACACATGAATTTCTCAAGACCCAAAATATTTAAGAATATAAATCAAGAATATTGTAGTTAAGCAATAATTATTTATATTAACTCTGAAGCTTGCAGGGTAAGCTTTTTCAAGGAAGAGGCTACCTCCACATCTTTGAACCACAGGGCCTAACACAGTGCTTAACCAAGAGCATGACTCAATAAATAGTTGTTGAATGAAAACAGCATTAACAGAAGTTCTTGAAGCAATCCTCTGGCTTTCTTTTGTTGTGATCCTATCTATACTAGAGTATGGTTCTAACCTAGCTTCCTTTTTAACTGGGAGGTGGAGAAATTAGACCAAAACAAAAGTACAAGAAACATGTGTGGAGTAGAAATTCCTACTTCTCTTGTGTCGAGGAATGTATTTTCTTGATAGGTGAAGTGTGACTGAGCCTGGGGCAGAAGGGAGCATGTTGAAGGGGGAAATTCAGTTTGGGGGTGTGAGAAGAGGCAGAGGAATAAGCAGTAAATTTGAGAAAGACAGCTCGCCACGAAATCCAAACCATTTGTATCTGGGACATCCTGAGCATTTCTCCTTTTCCCCCCAAAATTCCCAAAGAAATAATACTCAGTGTGGACCCCATACCCTCTTCTTCCCCTCCCATACTTCCACCTACTTGTAGGTTTTTAATCCCACATTCAATGCTTATAGTTCACAAATGTGGAAATTTGGCCAAAGTGTAAATTTAATGTATGTAATAAAACAAAATCTAGGACTGGAATGTCCAGGAGATTACAATCACATTTGAGAGCCCCAAGGTAAAGTCTTCATTAATGAACAAAAAAATCAAGAGGCACAACTGTTTATTTGAGACAAAAGGAGTATAGAGTATCTTAGCTATCTTTAGCTGGAGAGCTATTTTGTGGATGGTGCTAAATAGCCATTTATTCCTTCTACAGGGGGGAAGAAGGACTAGCTTTTGCTGAGTGTCAAATATCTGAAACTATTCTGAGAAAGAAGTTACAATAATGAACAACGAAGACTGTGCTCAAAAAGTTTAAAGACTAGCTGCGAATACAGACAAGCAAATAGGGCAGCTACAAGGTGTGATGTGTCCTACAATAGGGTGATCCCCAGGAGTTATGAAAACATAAACAGGAACAAAGTCTTGCAGGCAGAGGTCAGGGCAGTGTTCCCGGGGACATCTCTAAAATCTAAAAGATTAATGCATATTATTCATGGTAAAGTTTGGGGGTAGTTATCATAGAAAAGGGAAAGAGAATCTCATAGCAGAGAGAGCAGCCCTGAGGCCAGAGGGGAAAAAAAAAGGTAAAAAAGTCCTACTAGGACCCCCATATGTCTGGGAAATCATCTGAGAGGTGGAGGGTAGTGAGACCTGAAAGAGGAGAAAGAGGCAGGAGAACCACCAAGGGACTTATGCCCTCCCACTAGAGAGCTTAAACTTGACATGAGGGCAGTGTAGAGGGCAAGGAAAGTTTGAGATGAAACAACAAGATCTGATTTGTATTTCAGGAAGGTCTCTATGGCTGTATTGTGTGGAATGTATTAAGAGTTGAAAATGACTGGCCATGTACCCGGTACATGGAGCTCGAGGAGGATTCTGTGGAGCAACCTCGGAGAGACGAGAGTGGTCCTAGACTAAAATACTAGCAGCAGATCAGAGAGAAGTGGATGGAATCCCTTTGAAAGATATGTCTGTGGCAGAATCAGTAAGAGCCGGGAAAAGAACCTAAAGCCACACACTAAGTAAGCTTCTTGTTCAGGGTCCAAGGGGCTGCAGAATGGTCAGCTATTCACAGTGGGGTCTCCTTGTAGACTCTTCCTGTTTCTAACCTGTTTCTCCTTCACTCCCCTCATTGTTGAGTCTCCCCTTTCCATATAGGGGATATTCTTTTAACAACTCTGATTCCCTCTCCATCTTCCCCCCTCCAACCCAAGTGACTGGTCTCTCATCTCACCTTCCTGCCCACCCCAAAGCTACACACAGCTCAAAGCTAAGTGGCTCCTAATTCAGTTGCTTCTTGAAGGCTTCCATAGAAAAGACAATGACAGCCCTTGATTTCCCAGGAACTTCGGAAGAATTAAGGGCAGGTGAGGGAGTGGAAGAGGGATTTCCAGGCAATTGATCTCTTTTAAGACCTTACCTCCACTGGGAGTCAGTCCTGTCTCTTGATTTATCCAATAATTGCACGTGGGTACATGGACACACAGAGTGCTCAAACACACACACACACACACACACACACACACCTCCAAAGGACAAATATTAGTTCTCAAACATAGATGCTCTATGAAATGATAAGGGAAGAGCTCAAAATTTTCCTACTTCACAGTTTGCAAGGCATAGAGTCAGTGTTTTATTCCCTCCTCAGCTTTTGAGTTGAACTTCTTTCGTGTTGGCAGTCATAAGAAAGGACCCATTGCCAAACCTGGATAACACCTCTCCAGGTCACTATTCTCATGATCACTATTCGAAGCTTCGAGATTTCTTGTCCTAAAGTCCTTTATGAAATTCTTCCTCAAAGTTGCTCATCATTCTCTGTTTCTGTCTGGGATAAAGAATGGTAGGTTAGTTTTACTGTTTCAGATGTATCTATCGGTCATCCTCTTCTGGCCAAATAATGGAAATTGTTTAGTGGCAGCGCAATACTGTGGAAAGGACACTCATTTAAGTAAGACCTGGCCTTAAAATGTTCACTAACCTCCTGATATTGAGTGAACTTTTTCTCTGAGCCTCAGTTTCCTCATCAATACATGACAGGTGGGGGCGCCTGGGTGGCTCAGTCGGTTAAGCGGCCGGCTCTTGATTTCAGCTCAGGTCATGATCTCAGGGTCTTGAGATGGAGCCCTGCTTTGGGCTCCATGCTCAGCGGGGAGTCTCCTTGGGGATTCTCCTTCTCCCTCTGCCCCTCCCCCTGCTCCCACACTCTCTCTAAAAATAAAACAAATCTTTAAAAAAAAATGACAGGTAACATGGGTTAGTTTGTTTTTCATAATCAGTTTATATCGAGTGTAAATATATATGTAAAAGTAGTTGACATGTATAGTGGGTGTTCAAAAATATATGGTATTTATTTTTGATTAAAGTCAGAAATCATCTAATGCAACCATTAATTTTTGCTAATGAAGATGCTAAAGCACAGAGAGGGGTAAGATTTTCCCGGTCCCACAAAGTGGCAGAGTCAGAAATAGATGCCAAGTCTCCTGATTCTTGCTCAATGTTCTTTCCATTACACCTTCTGTAGTGAGCCTGGAGTATGTGTTTAAGGAGTTGGAAGCCTTTTATTATAGAATCTGTGCCCCAAGGACATGCCCCCCCGCCGCCCCCAAATGTCTAGGCTAATGCCAGTTATATTCAATGTCCATGTGGCTTTGCCTTGGATGGAAAAAATTTTTTCCAGCACCACCTATCCTATTATTCTGTTTTGAAAGGGTAATCTGTCAGGTACATCAAACATTAAAAGCAGCGGGAACATTCTGAGGTTGTAGTGTGTATATTTTTCTCATCGATTAAATCTTCACTCCTCAGCTATCAGGCAGAAGGGAGGAAAAACTGTTCCCCTCCTCCCCTAAAAGGAGAAAAGCTTTTAAAACAGTTGGCAGAATCCACTATGCAAAGTGGAAAAATAAAATTTTCAAGCAACATCAGATGAGAAAGGCAAAAGAACACATGTGCTCAGGATAAAGTTTGTTTTCTCTTGGGCTAAAATATTGCTGCTTCATAATTCTAAGCTATTATCATTAGAGCCAGATTGTAGCCAACAATTTTATCAACACAATTTAATGCTTTCCCTAGGTTACCGTTATCAGGAAAATAGAGTGGAAGTTTTCAGCTGATCTCATCAAATCACAAAAAAAAACCCTGACATTGGTGAAAATGCAATGTTTCTAAATGGCAGAGAAAAGGATTGATATGCAAGACTCAAATTTTCTTCTTCACGCACAGCTGATATGTGTGACAGGAGTTATCACCAGCATTTTGATACGATCACCTAAACAATTGTCCTCAAGGAAGGCCTAAGCTCTTGAATGTCCTGCTGGCATCTCAAATTCAATACATGCAAATTAAAATCCAGTACCTTTCTCCCCTCCCCCAATTTATTCTTCTTCTCGTATTCCCAATCTTAGCAAAAGCTCCATCAATCCCTGAAGACATCAACTCCTTCTTTCTTCTCCTGTCTTCCTCCCATCCCAAATGGTCTCTTAAGTCCATTTTTTAAAGCCCTGAAATGCCACCGCGGAATCCACTGCCACCATGTTAATTCTGACTTTTATCATCTCTTGATCTATTGGCACTTGGGTTTGATGAATTGGTCCCTGAGAGTCTGTTCTTATCAACCTCTAATCTATATTTCTTATGGCACCCAAATTGCTACTGTAGAATGTAAAGCTTATGATGGTCTAAGATTTTCTGTGGCTCCTTGTTGCCTAATAAGACCAATTTTTCATCTGGTCTAAAAGAATTTTTTCAATCCACCCAATCCACTTTCCAACCTCCTCTCTTTAGCAACTACCACCATGACCATGCAGTTGAGGCTTTGACCATCCCCAAAGTATTCGTTGTTCTCTATGCTTTTGTTTATGCTGTACTTTCTGCTTGTAAGTGCTACATTTGAACCCCCATGTCTCCCTGGTAACTTTCTTCTTAACCTGAAAGACTCAAATTCCCCATCTCTGTCAAGTTTTCTTTGAGAATCCCCAAAGACTTAGTTGGGTCTTTCTCTGTATTTCCATACCACAGTTAATAAACTGCTATTGTGTCAATTATCCTGCTACATTATTATTATTTTTTTGGTAGGGAATTCTTTGATGAGTTAGTTTGTATCCTCCTTGTATCCCTAGGTCCTAATACAATCTCTGACACAGTAAGATTCAAATGTTTGTGAATCAAACTACTGATCCCTTTCGGGGTGAAAATAAATGAGAGTGATTTTCATGTATAATCTCACTTAAATTTCCAGTTATGAGAAAAATAGATTGGTTCTCAAGTAATGTACCATGGCATAAAGGTGTGCTGCTAAATATATAAAATGTAAATTACACAAAATTATGTAAATTATGTAAGGGCATGGTCTCTGCACATCCATTAGGTAGCAAGTTGAATGGATCATATAACTGAACACAGGATAGAATAACCTTGATGCATACAAGAGCTTTAAAAGTATACTGTAATGCATAGCCAGTGACCCTCAAAGTGCTTTTTTTTTTTTTTAATTAGAACCCGCAAGACCTTTGCCTTGCTATGTAAAAGAGGGTATAGTCAGAGCAGACAGTTCATCTTAAATGAGAAGTCCATGTTCAAGGGCAACCAAGTGTATAGAATGGCAACTATGGGTGTCTTCTAGCAGTGAGAGAGATTGTTAGACTGTAGACATTGTAATTATTGCTAACTGCTTTGGGGCCTTTCAACATCTCCAACTCTGTATTGGAAACATCCTGTATTTGAAAGCATGCCTAAAAGGTAGAGAAATGATTGAGGCAGAATTGTGGAATATTAGTTTGAAAATGACAGCCTGGATTTCAATCCCAGCTCTGAAGTCACTACCTCCGTTGACTTTGCCAAGTCATGTTAGCCTTGTTGGCCCTCAGATTGGCCAGCTCTATGATAAGACAGGACCTACTTCATAAAATTGTGGGAATTAATCAAGCCAAAAACAGAGTCTGGCTTGGAGCAAGGCCCTAGTAAATGTTACCTACTGTTATCTGTTGACACTGTTGGTGTATTTATTTCTATGGTCGGTAGTGAGACCTACGTGCTAGCTTCGTTTCATCTGCCTTCCCTGCTACTGCTGTGATCTCCTAAATTTGTTATTTTTAAAGATTTTATATATTTATTTATTTGAGAGAGAGAGAGAGAACATACACAAGCGGGGGGCGGGGGGAGGAGCAAAGGGAGAGAAAGAAGCAGATTCAGGGCCCAACCCAAGGACCCAGGGCCGAAGGCAGACACTTAACTGAGCCACCCAGGCACCCCTGCGATCTCCTAAATTTAATAGTGTAACTTGCTTACTTCTGGTTCCTCCACTTTCCTGAAAATCTACTGTGATTCAGAGAAACAGAGCAGAAAGCTAAACACAGCTGAGTTCATGTTTCCTCTCTCTCCACAAATTCAAGAACATAGTCCTGTATCTGATTAGAAATACCTATTTTCTGGGAAAATCAAATCTAAGCATCTCTGGCTAATAGGTTTCCCTTCAGAGGACTGGTACAATCAGAGAGATAAAACAATAATTATCAAGTTTACTTGGATGGTAAAGTGAAGTTTGGTTGAGGAGATCTGGTGAAACTTGCAAAACACCACTTGGGCAAGCAGACAGGAGATAAATACCCAGAGGGGAAAAAATGACAACAACTCTATCAAAGATACTTATAAATTGAGAATACATCAGGGCGAAGTTCAGGCTGACTCGGGGTATATAAGGACATAGGAGAACATTAACTTTTATCTGACCAATGTTAAACAAAGATCAATGGCCAGAAATATTTATATACGTGTGTGGAATGCCACAGTACCTCCATGCATTGCTCCCACAATCAGATGTGTGTAATTTGACTCTTGAAAGTAAGTAGTAGTAACCTATGACTCATGACATAATTGTTTTCATCCAATCATCAGAGTTTGACAGTTGCACATGGCAGGTATTAACGCCTACCTCTTGGGGATACTGTGATAATGAGTGTTTTCAACAATGTTTCCAGTTGAGAGCCAGAAACAAATGAGGGGCGGTGTCTCGTGGTTATCAGACCCAACTATTATTCCTTTTTCTGTAATCAAGGATACAACAGGCCCAGGGCCTCCTAACATACCTATTTATGAATGAATGATATTCCTCAGCCAAATAAAAGCTTTCAGACAATAGGACTCTACCCTCAATTCAGCCTGAAATCAGTATGTTCCAAAATGAAAAGCCTCCTAAGCACATCTAGGTCTGTTTTTTTCACCCATTATCAATGACACCCTTGTCACATCTGGACACTTCTTACTCCTCACAGCATTTGACATCATTGGCCCCTACCCTCTTTCTTTAGTATTCTTTTATTTTCTCTTATTTTCTTTATTATTATTATTATCTTTTTAAGATCTCATTTATTTATTTGAGAGAGAGAGAGCACAAGAACACGAACGGGGGGAGAGGGGCAGAGGGAGAAGCAGACTCCCCGCTGAGCAGAGAGCCCAACGTGAGACGTGGGCTCGATCCCAGGACCCTGCTGAGCTGAAGGCAGATGCTTAACCAACTGAACCACCCAGGCGCCAAGCCCCCCTCCCCCGCCACCCCCACCGCCTTTTTAATGTATTTTTATTTAGATGGCAGGTCTTTGGGTGAATGATTTTCCTTCATCTCAATTTTCCAAAATTTAACCATTCTTTTTTTTGTGGCCACTATGATATCATATTTTTTTCTTTCAAGTTTTTATTGAAATTCCACTTAGTTAACATATAGTGTATATTAGTTTCAGGTGTAGGATTTAGTGAGTCATGGCTTCCATACAACACCCAGTGCTCATCAAAGGTGCACTCCTTAATCCCCATCACCTATTTCCCCCATTCCTCCACACACCCCCCTCCACTACCTCCTGATATATTTTTCTGGGTTTGGTGTCTGTTTTGTAGGTTCTTCCTTGTCTGTCCATTTTAGTTTGTTCCTTTTCTAGGTCTTGCTCTTTGTTTTCTGGATTCTCTGCTTCTGAACAGTATCACCCATTACTATTATGGTTTCTCATATGAGAAGCACTGGGTGAGGAAGGAGCTCAGAGTAGGACCTGGTCATCACAGAGGGTGTTGTGGAATATGTGATATTTCATTTGATTCCTTAAGAATGTGGTAAAAGGGGATCATAAAGTTTCTGGTATAAAATTCAAGTTATGCTTGTGGAAAATACTGTCTCTCATTTTATTGTCTGTTCCAGCTTGCTCTTCATAAAGGAAATGTTTTCCTCTGAAGGAAATTAGTTAGTTTTCATCTTAGTGCCTCAAATCTAAATGAAGTCCATTTTATTTATTTATTTTTTAAGATTTTATTTATTTACTTGAAAGAGAGGTAGAGAGAGAGCACAAGCAGGGGGAGTGGCAGGCAGAGGGAGAGGGAGAAGCAGGCTTCCCGCTGAGCAGGGAGCCGGATGCAGGGCTCAATCCCAGGACCCGGGGATCATGACCTGAGCCAAAGGCAGCCGCTTAACCAACTGAGCCACCCAGGCGCCCCTAAATGAAGTCCATTTTAAAGAGTTATAGAATAAAAGACGCTCGGCTCATTCCGTACATTAAAATGTGCTCATCTGAATTCAATAAGGTATCGAACTGAACAATTATGTGACTCTTTAGTCCTTCAGCTTTTCAAATAAGAATTCTTGTGATGGCCGAGTAGCTGCTCCCATTTGGAGAGAAAAGTGCACTTTATTTGCATTTCTTATATTCAAATGAGTAGCTGAGAAAGGAAATTACACAACTTTTCAAAATAAGGTTTAACTTACAAACACAATTTCCAAGATATTAATATTTTAACATAATTCTTTTGCATCACACACACACACAGGATAAACATTTTAAAAAGAGATCTAGGGGCAATTGGGGGGCTCAGTCGGTTAAACATCTGACTCTTGATCTCAGTTCAGGTCATAATTTCAGGGTTGTGAGATCGAGCCCCGCTTAAGATTCTCTCTCTCCCTCTGCCCCTCCCGCCCCCACTAGTGTGCTCTCTCTCTCCCTCTCTCTCTTTCCAAAATAAAATAAAATAAAGTCAAATAAAATAAAAAGAGATCTAAATATCTCTCAACAAAAGCCAGAACAGGAGGTAGGAGAAAAGTCAGCTCGGGAGGGTGTGGATTTGGATGGTTTCCCCAAAGGAGACAAGTGGTGCAGCATCTGGATGACTCTGCAATTTTGTGGAACATTTTTATATTTGCAAAGTGCTTTAGAATAACTCCTCCTGACAAGCATGTAAGCCAGATAACCATTATCATGCTAGTTTTTTCAAAAGATGAAATAGAGATCAGTGAAGCAATCTGCCCTCTTCCAAGAGAAAAATGGCAAGTGGTAGCAGATTAAACATCACTGAGCCTGAAATTCCATTTTGCTGGGTGAGCCCCAGCGCCCAGGACAACCAGTTGGATGAGGGTGGCTCGGCAGTTGCCAAATTTCGACAGACAAAGGAGAGCACAATGTGATAGTTCATCCGGATAATTTAGGTCAGAACTCCCCCATGACCCTGGAATCTCAAAAACAATGTAACCTGATCATGGCACAAACTCAGGATGTTATACTCAGCCTTCCTGAGGTGGTCCACCAAGACATGAGTGCTCCTTCCAAGCGGCAGGGAAGAAGTTCCGCTCACATTTGCTTGGGCTGAGATAAGTCACAGGAGGGATGGGAATCGTGCTGAGAGGGAGGCCTTCCCTACACAAACAGGCGAGTCAGACTTGTTTCCTGTGCCTCCGGTTTGGACAACTGAAGAAGGGTCTTTATTTTACACTTGGCTACCTCTATGGTGTGCTGGGGAAAATCTGTACTCTGTTCGAATAAAACCCGAAACGTGATTTAATGCTTATATTTAAATAAGTTAATATTGAAATGTACGATTACATGCCTCATTAAAATAATTGCTCCCAGGGACCCTGGTGGGCTCTGACCTGCTCCACACTGGCCCAGCTCTGGAAGCCCACGGAGACAGCAGGAGCACTAGCCCAAGTGCTGGGTATCGCTCAATGTCAGTGCAAATTAAAGGGAAACAAAGCAGCTTGTTTTTCCTCTGCAGCCTTTCTCGAACCAAAACACGGGAGGACCTGAGCCAACTGCCATGGGCAAAGCCGCCAGTGGCAATGAGTCACTGGAAATCTTGAATGTTTGCTAAGTAAGGTCTTCTGTAGTTTCCCAGATCACACAGCCCAGGCCCCTCCTTCCTCGACCAGCCCTGACTCACTCGGGAGAGGGCTGAAGGCCTGTTGCCTCTGTCTGCATCCCGAGACTCACCACCTAGCTCTGGGAGACACTGGTGTGGAGCTGGTCTCGTTTGCTTTTGAGTTCTTAATGTTATTTTGCGTCGTTTTTTGGTCGTTGTTGTTTAGTGGTGATAGAATGAGGGCATCAAGTATCTGGAAAGGACCGAAGGTTTTTTACACCAGCAGGGAAGTCATCACCCAGAATCCTGTTACTGCAACCTGTTAGCACCTCTGTCACTTCTTACACCAAGCTTTCTCAACCTCAGTGCTGCTGACATTTTGGACCATTTCAGTCATCGTCATGCGTTCGCGGGTCAGATCCACTTAGCTTCTGATCGACTGATTTCTCTAACTCTTCTCTTTGTGCAACTTTTGTATTCTTACCTGAGTGTCAGACAGGAGAGACACAATCAACACTGTCTTCGCAGGCTCTTGAACTTCAAGCCAGTAATCGTTCCTAGCATGCCGAGTGATTCTTCCCGGCTCTTCATGCTTGGCCCCCGCAGACAGTGACGGGCTGCATGGGTGACAGATTGTGTTTTACTAAAAGGAAACCTAGCTTTCTTAATTTACAGTCCTTCTGCTCACGGGCATGCAAGAAATTCCCAAGGGTTCTTGTGTTTCAGAACCTGGTGGCCTCCCTGGTTTTTTTGTTTTGTTTTGGTTTGGTTTTTTTCCTGTTCCTCATTCGTTTTCTATCTCATAGGGCAATGATCCAGTGATTTAGGGTACATTGTCTTCCCTCTTTGTTCTGACCCATTACTCTAAATATGAGCCCTGAATTTCTCTCCTGGAAAACCCCTGCTTCTATTCAAATTCAAACTCCCATCATCTCCCATCTGGATGGAGGGAATTATCTTCTTGCTTCTACCCTTGTTCTGCTATAATCCATAATCCATCCTTCACAGAGCTCTTATTTTTTTTTTTTTAATGTAAATAGGACTATGCCACTCCTCTGCTTAGAATCCTCCTGTCGCTTTCTGTTACATTTAAAATACAAATTCCTTGCCCTAGCCCACAAGGCCTCATGTCCTGCCAACCCCCCCACCCCCTCTGCTCTAACGACACTGGCCTTGTGGTTGTTCTCAGACATTCCAAACTCTGCCCACCTCAGGGTCTCTGCACTTGCCCTTTCTTCTGCCTGGAATGCTTCTCCCCCGTGTTCCTGTGACGGCCTCCTTCTTATCATTGATGCCTCATCTCCAAGATCAATTCTTCAGAGAAGGTTCCCCCTTATTAATGTACTTACCCCTGCCTGGACCTCGGTCACTCTGGGTCATGGTACCTGGTTTCATGGCCTTCCTAGTATTTATTGTTCCATCTTCATCTGAAGAATCCTATTTATTACTACCTTTCTTTTCCCTATTCCCCACCACAACGCTTCTGTTTTCTTCACTACTGGATCCTTATTCCCAATACCCACCCAGCAGACAGTCCATAGGTGCTCAATAAATATTTTTGAATGAATGAATGAATGATACACCTACAGAACACTTCTGCAAATAGAATTTAGGATCCTTGGCATCCTGTTCTAATCACCATCACCCCCCCATTCAAATTCACCCTTCACTTCCTGCCCATCTTCGTTGTGCTATATAATACGAGAGTCATACCCAAAACCTTGAAGTGCTCACTTGGTGACTTCAGTTTAATAACACATGCCCTATCTGCCTCTAAGTGAGTCACTTAGACTTCATAAAATTTCCCAGTGACATAAGATGTCACCAAGAGTCCTGCTTCTTCTTCTTTTTTTTAACCTTAGTCATGCATTCATTTACCTGAGTAACATCATCTAGTAGTTAGGCCCAAAGCCAAAAGAACCCAAGGAAACAGTTACTTAGCAAACTTCACTTATTTGCATGGGATTGCTACTACCATCTACCTCACCCGGATGTTGTACGAACAAATGAGATATTAACTGTGGAGCATGTTCATCTTAATAAGAAACATTCATACACAGGAAAAGGAAGCTATTGATTTTCTGACTTTCCAACATGTCATTTATATGCCTTTTACTAATAATTACATTAAGAAAGGCCAACTTTTGTGCCTTTCTCATAAGTCAAGGGAAATCTAGTTGCTTAAGGCACCCAAGAGATTCCAACTCAGAGTTCAAGAATGTTCAGGAATAAAGAAGCAGAGTAAATTTCAGGAATTTCTACCTCCTTCACTCTGTGGAGACTTCAACTGTTGTCATAGACCATAGAACATCAGACAGCAAGGAAGCCCTTAAAAATCACCTGTTCTAACCCCTTTATTTTATAGATGAGAAAGTAAAACCCGTAAAATCATGGACCAGAGTCCTCTTCAAGCTTGTAAGTGGCCAATGCCTGCCTAATGCCAGCTTCCCCTACTTTCACTCCAGAGATGGTTCTGTGATAGAGGCCTTTGCTACTCACGTGCCCTTATTCTATTATTGTCCTTTAACTTCCAAAGGTCATGGGTGCAAACCAGGAAGGGGGAGTAAAATGCTAAGATCAAGATCTCACCAAGAAAAAAGCACATCATTCTTCCTAATATTTCCAGATTTTGGTCTTTTAGTGAGAAATAACCACTCTCGTTGAAGGTATGCAAATAGGCATCTGGAAAGAATTCAGGTCAGCGTGGTCAACATTTCAAAACCTTGGCTAACTTGGATGCCAGCTCTCTGGAATGCTCAGCAAGCTGGAACAACACTGGATGCAGAAATAAATAGCGTGGGGCAAAAATTTAAGGAAAAAAAAATGTTAACTTGAAAAGTATTTTTGGCTGGAAAGAGCCGCCCTTAATTATTCAGTAATTGAATGAGCAGTAAGTGAGCATAGCTGAGAAAAACCAAAGATCAAAAGACAACACCCAGTACAATGATGCCGGTCAATTCCTTGCAAGGAAAAAAAAAAAAAAAAAAGAATAGGAACTAGTGCTTATAAAATATCAAGACTCTGAGGAATTAAAAGTCAAGAGTGTGTGTGCTATATGGACTGTGAAGAAATATTAAGTTAGGTCTTTTCTACCCTTTTTGAGAATGCAGAGCAATTGTAAATAAAATTTTTTAAAGGACTTCCATTTGCACAAGTTAAAATCAGTTAGCTCAAAAACAGAATTCGTTTCTAGATAGCTGTCGGGTGAGACCAGTACTTAGACACACAGATACACACACACACACACACAGCATAGGAAGGATAAATTGAAAATATACCAAATAGAATTGGTACCGTGATTTCCAATCATTATGTGTCTAGGGCCGCAGAAACCCAATTACCTGTAAGAGAAAAATCTAGATGAAAGTAACCAGAGTAGTTGCTATACGTTGAATCAGCTACTTCCCACCTGTTAATACAGAAGAGATAAATTTAAAATAAGCCTTTAAAATGTCAAGCTGGGGGAAAATGTATCAGCGGAAGTATAGTCAGGCTCTGATAAAATATGAACACACTATCGTGGCATGAATTCTACTTTCTCTTCTAGTTCATGCTTCATTTTCTTCTTCTTCTTCTTTTTTTTTTTTTTTTTTTTTGGTCCTTCTAAAATCTAGCAATAGAGAAGACTAGAGAATCCATAGCTGGGCTATTTCACAAATAAATGGATTTCTTTTGTAATAGTTGAAGTTAAGTGAAATGTTTAACTCTACATTCAGTTTTCTTCATCCTGGGGTGGTTAAAGTAGCCGAAAAACCAAAAACCAAACAAACAAAAAAAACCCAATAGCATGGCAACTAATATGTGAATATGCTTTATATGTTGGAACACTAAACTTATATTTTAAAACATGAAGAACTGAACCCTAAAAGGCTCATCGTATGCAATGTTAAGAATTATGTGTGTGTGTATATATGTATATATGTGTGTGTATGTATATTTACACGTATATTTAATACTTACATTTTGTTTTATTTTTTTAATACTTAAATTTTAAAGTAAATCTTCATCACATATAAAAAGAAGAGCGTTGAGATTTGCTGACACTAGCCTTTTTTTAATATGATAAAGAGAATAACCATATACATCAGAACAGAATTAATCACAATGTGCTAAAATCTAGTTATTATTATACCTTAGTACAAACAACATAGGTGGTTAGTTGGTTGGTTTCACCAATAGCAAGCAATTCAGAGTAACTCACACTGTGCGTTTACCAGGCCCAAGCTCAGAGCATTCCCCCCAAACCCCTCTTTTGTTGCGGGTAATAGACAAACAGTTATATCTTAAGACACACAGCAACTGCAAGAGAACTTGTGCGGAGTAGTTTCAGGGCCTGTTGTACTCGTTTTCCATTACTGTAACAAACTACCGCAAATTAAGTGGCTTAAAATAGCACAAATTTGTTATTTTACCGTTCTAGAAGTCAGAAGTCCCAAATCAATCTCACTGGGCTAAAATGAGACGTCAACAGGACTGCCTTCTTTCTGTAGCCTCCAATTTCTAGAGGCCCTTTGCTGCATTCCCGAGCTCACGGCCCCTTCCTCTATATTCCAAGCCAGAAGCAAAGTAGCATCTTTAAATCTCTCTGTGTCTTTAAATTTGACTCTGACCTCTGTTTCTATCACCGCTTCTCCTCTGACTTCCCTGCCTCCCTCTTTCCTTTATCAGGGTCCTTGTGTTTACATGAAGACCACCCAGATAATCCAGGATAATGTCCCCATCCCATCCCCAAATCCTTAATTTAGTCACATCTGCAAAGTTCCTTTTGCCACTCCAACCTAACATGTTCATAGTTTCCAGGGATTCAAAAGTGGGACATTTTAGGGAGGCCATTATTCTGCCTACGCCCTTACCATTTTTCACTCTCTCTATCCACTTCTTCAAGCTGGAGCAGATTTCATTTCAAATCCACAAGTTACAAAAAAAATCTTGCTTCACCTCTGTGTCTGGATATAGGGGCTGACTGCCCTGCATCCCTCAGTGAATTCAAGTTGAGATTCTGCCTTCATTTAAAATGTAATGTGTCTGGACTTACTAAAGAAGAGACTGCACAATTAAATTCCTTAATGAAATACACTTTCTGATGATCAGTTTTGATGGGAATATACGAGTGTGCAATACAGACTTCTCAATGCACTTCTGATGAGTAATAAAACCCAAAAGAGATGTTTGTGAATATGTTGCTTCCTTGAAACACTAGTCTCTGGGGATCTTTTCTTTTTTTTAAAGATTTTATTTATTTATTTCACAGAGAGAAACACAGCAAGAGAGGGAGCACAAGCAGGGGGAGTGGGGGAGGGAGAAGCAGGCTTCCCGAGGAGCAGGGAGCCTGACTTGGGGCTGGATCCCAGGACCCTGGGATCATGAACTGAGCCGAAGGCAGACGCTTAACCACTGAGCCACCCAGGTGCCCCTCTCTGGGGATCTATTGCTCCTTATGAACCATTGTAAAATCTCCCTTCATTCATTTATTCCACAGATATTATTGCCTGCCCACGATGTGCCAGGCACTGTGGAAGGCACTAAATACAAAGGTGAGCAGAAGGGATATAGTTTCTTCCTTCATGGGGAATGCAAACTATAATCTAGTGGAGGAGACAGACACCTCACATAAACAAACAAATAAATATATAATTGCAAAATGTTATAAATGTTCTACAGGAGATAAAGAGTATTTGGAGCTGAAGATGAAATGGAGGGGCATGCATATTCAAACCAGGGAAGATTGCTCTTAAGAGTGTGTATGTACCCACGGCTGGGAAACTGTATTTAGGAAGTTTAGGAGCAGTAATAAAACTGATTAAAATCAGCCTGCTTTTTATCATCATCATACATTGGCAAGTCTAAACAGTATCAATAATAAAACACTTCTCCCAGAAAAAAAAAAAATCTTTTGTTGATCTAAGTTCTAAACAATCGCTAACAGTTATGTTGAGTTTTGATAAAATACACATAAACTAAAAATTAGCACATTTTTATTACCTACCCTTTAAGACACACTGTTTTCTACATGGAGGTTAATTTGAAGAACCAGCTATACTAATCAGCTCCCAATGCACACAGACTCAGTGCTATGGTCTGAATGTTTGTGGCCCCCCAAATCTGTATGTTGATGCCTAAATCCCCAATGTGGTGTTTCTTGGGGGGATAATTAGGCATGAGGGTGGGACCCTCATAATGGGATTTGTGCTCTTATAAGAAAAGACACAAGAGAAATGACCCGCCCTGCACTCTCTACTCTCTACCATGTGAGGATACCACAAAAAGATGACCATATACAAAGTAGCAAGCATGCTCTCCCCAGACATCAGATCAGCCTGCACCTTGATCTTGGACTTGCCAGCCTCCACGCTGTGAGAATTAATGTTTATTGTTTAAACCATCCATCTATAGTACCCGGTTACAGCACCTGAACTGATGGAGACACTCAGCCACCTGTATCTGTTTCCACATTAGGTTCAAGGGCGTGTGAAATAATCTGAGTTAACTTACTTCTCTGTTCAGGCGTCCCAGTCTTTGGTTCTTTCTGATACCATTTACTCTTCCCCATGTGCCACGCCATGATCAAATGCGAAATGCTCAGTTATGTCCATATTGAGGACGGCAAATTGGAGAAAAAGACTCATTCTTGAGTTTCTTTCCCATGTCTGGGATAACTGCTATTCAACTCACATGAAAGTCACAACACAACTGGGTAGGGAAGGACTGGACATAAACCTCTCTCATGGTCAAGGACATCGGAAGTCTGTAATGACAGCTATTACCCACAGCAGTGTTTGCGTAAAAAAAAAAAAAAAATCAAAGAGGTTAATCCAAATCCTTATCTGTAACTTGTGCAAATCATCCTCCAAACCTTTGAAGAGTTTGCTATTTGGGGAGTTTTTCTTCATGTGTGGTATTTTGGGGAAACAAAAAAATGTATTCCTTCTTTTCATCATTTTGAAAAGAATCATTGATGGGAAATGCTGCAGAGTGTAAGTTTAACAGTGAAAAGGCTTTTCTGGACACAGTGGAGTGGTCATTTGAAGCTGTACTCAGAGTAAAGGCAAATTTTGAAAAGTTAATCCCAACCTTTGAAGTCCTCCAAGATCCGAAAGAAAATGTGAACACAAGAAGATCAGTCAAGATTTTGCTCTCTGCTGAGGCTATTTTTCTTTTCTGAATTAACTTTTTATCTGGAGTGAAGCTTTCCATGAGGTTAATCAGACAAACAGATTTGCAAAGAGACAGAAGTGGCTTTGAACAATGTGTGTGAAACACCAGGCATTTACATTTTTTCTTTGAATATCAGAATCCGCAAAGTGTGGAGATGACTGATAAATGTACAACAACAAATGTAAGAAAATGGATGTTTACATAGGAAAAAAAATCAAATTTTGAAAAAGACCAGCAGCAACAACAAAACCAAAAGGACAAGGTTTGAATGCCTCAATCATTTTTACCAAGAATTGGACACTTGTTCTAAAGCAATGGATCAAATATTGTCAATGTTTCCCACCATTTTGTGATTTTGTCTGGCCTTTTGCAACAGAGGTCTTTAGAAGTTTCTACCAAATACAACAAATTCATGATAAATTTTCTAGTGAAGATACTTTAGTGAAGTATCTCTTTTGAATGATGGAAAATTTGATAATTTGAAAGCCACTAGACTCTATCTCAAAAAAGCAATGATATTGCCAATTTTATAATTTCTGGAAATTACTGTGCAGTAGGATTTTTATGACTCTTCCAAAAGTATCCATTTGTTTAAGATTTTCTGAATTATTTTACGTGTTGCTTTACATAAAAAAGACTTTTCAAAATTAAACTCAATAAAAATTATTCTTTGATTGACTATGAGTGAAGACAGGTTGACAAATCTGGTAATTCTATTAAACCTGAATATTGAAAGATCAATTTTAATGAAGTCACTGACAAATTTGCCAAATTAAGTTTTGAAAAAAGAAACTAATATTATAGGTGTAAGGGTTTTTTTTTTTTTAATACGCATTAATGTAATCACAAAGTACGAATTCTGATCAATGAGGAAGAGCACACCATTCAAAAGACAGGGCCAAGACATTCCGTGAAAGAGGAACAGCAAGGGCAAAGACCCTGAATCATGAAAGAACAAGGATTGTTTCAGAAATTAAAAGGAGGCAAATGTAGCTGGAGGAAATGTGCAAAATAGAGAGTGTCTTGGTTTGTGCTTAGAGAAGCAAGCAGGGGCCAGATCCTTTCACCCTACAGGGCTGTTGCAATGAATTTAAATTTCATGTTAAGCACAAAAGGAAAATACTGAAGTTTCTTAAGCAGGAGAGGGTTGTGATCAAATTTATGGTTTTACAAGATAACTCTGGCTGCCATGTT